ACATCATATGGCGTATATTATATAATAGTGTACTTTTTGTAATTTTGTTTGTAAATAGATATCTATGTTATTATTGACTTGAAATTACTTATATTGAGCTTAAATTATTTTCACTAAACTTAAAGTATTTTTACCAAACTAAAATTATTTTTACAGATTAAAACTTATGTTTACTGATTCTCTATCTTTTTTAAATAAATTAAATAACAATGCATTTTGTATGCGGCTAGCCACACCATCTGGCCGGTCAAAGTAACCCCTATAAAACTGACCGAGTAATCCTTGTAATACTAACTGAGTAACCTCTAACACTAACTAAGTAACCCCTATCTATAACACTAATTGAGTAACCACTATAACACTAACCAATTAACCCCTATACACTCACGAAGTAACTCTTATAATAGTTGGCGACGCGGTTTGACCAGCTACATATAAAAGTTTGTGATTAAATATACTATAAATGGATCTTATTTTAAAGATCTTTTTAAAACGAATTTGATGATGAAAATAGAATTGAGTTATAGGCTATTTATAAAAAGTTATGATTAATTTTGTATATATGAAATATTAGAATTCTATCGATAATAAAACTCTATTCAACAATATTATCTTAAAAAATCTATTTAAAAATCTCTTACTTAGCATCATACATGTCACAATAATACTTATTTATAGCCTACGTGGCGCGACACTTGGTGAAAAACTGGAATGCCAAGTGTCGCTGTCTCGTGGCCTGGCTGCGAGACCGGCTTTATTTATCAGTGGTATGATACAAAAATAATCCCAATTTGGTTCGATTCGCCCAAAATAATCTCAACTTTTAATTATTTTTTAATAACCGAACTTGAATATAAATTTGCTTCCAATGGTCCCAGGTGACCAGTAACCTGTTGAATAGGTAAATTTTTTTAAATAAAGTTTAATGTACACGTGTCATTTCATAATGGGTCAAAAATAAGTTTAGTTTTAATTTTTATTTATATTATTTGTGTAATTAACTAACTTAAAAAATATTATTAAAAAAAAACCACCAATGCAACAACCTCCACCTCTGACGACCGACGCCTATCCTGCACGGCTCATTTCCCCTCCCCTACCGACGAAGCCCACCCACCCCTCTCCCCGTCCTGTTTGATTTTCTGGGTTGTTGTGGGTAGGCTTCCCATTAAATTTTTTGGGTTGTTTTGAGTTAGATTTAGGCTTTTGGGGGACGGCGAATAGGGGACGAAGGTCGTTTCGAGGAAGGAGGGCGTTTATGCGGTGGATCGGGGTGAGGAAATGGAAGGAGGGCGACGCGTTGGGGTGGAGGAATTTGGGGAGGGGTTGTTCGTGGGAATGGGAAATAGGTGAGATGGCTTCGCCGGCGGGGGAGGGGGGAAATGCGCTAGCGAGATCTGCCAACCGGGGAGTAGGCCAACTAGGCGTCGGCAGCCGAGATGGGGGTTAGGCGCTGGTGGAGGTTTTTTTTTTGTAAAAAAAAAAAAAAATCTTTTAAAGTTTTTTTAAGTAATAATTTTATTTATTTATTTTTTTATTTTTTTACGTTTTAGTTAATTATTTTTTTAAAATTTTTATAGTATTTTATTTTCTTTTGACCAATCACGTCCTAACACGTGTCAGGTGACTTGTTATAACAAGTTTTATGACCGGTTGGGACCATTAGAAGCAAATTCATATTAAAGTTCCGATTATTAAAAAATAAATAAAAGTTGAGATTATTTTTGGCGAATCGAACAAAGTTGGGATTAATCCTATCAATTATTGGAGGCTTCAAAGCTTCTTTTTCAATGATCTTTTATTTTAGCTGGAAGGGGTAATTATGAAGCTTGTCACTTAGCTAGATTAGTTTTGTTTGCTTGTCTTGAACCAATTTGGAAGAACAATTGTTTTAGCGAAATATCCCCGCCGTATGTACTCATGGACAAATTACTCTTAAGCCAGAGAACCTTATTCCTAATTGAGCTATACGGAGGACATTGTTACTCAAGATGGTGCTTTAAATCCTCAAAGGGAAGGAATTGGGATATATAGGCGGGGAAGTTGTAATTTCATAGTAGATATATTTTATCGTTTTAAGAGATTTTAGATGTAATTGATTATGACTTATTAAGGTCCTGTTCTTTTGAGCTAAAGTGAATTGAACTAAAATGAAGTAGAATAATGACCTGAAGTAAGTTGAAAATAAGTTAAAAAGAACTAGACAAAAGTCTGCATAAAAAAAAAAAAAAAAAAAAAAAAAAAAAAGCGTACAGAGCATAGCTCATCCATAAACCTTTTGGTGCGCTGCATTCGAGGGACCATATATAATGAATCATGTACATGCTTCCCAAAATTTTGGGAGGTGGGGATCAATGTAACATAATAAATCACGTTGCTTCTTTGACGATCACAAATTTCTTATCAAAGTTAAGCTATATGACTATATCTAATCTCTATTTCAAGGTGGTGGGAGTTTGTTTGCACCTATTCATGGACAATGACAAAACAACCATAATTATCTGAGAAAATTAACATGTACTCTAATTGTCGTTGTCTTCTGGGAAACCATTTATTGCTTTTGCTTGTTATGATGGGATCAACCTCCATATACAGTTTATTTTGTTTTTGGACTTACCTTGAAGATGCATGTGTTTTGCTACATATGCAGACTAGCTAAGGATATGCATGCAAAATCCGGACAATCGGTATGAATTGGAACGACGGATTCTAGTTTTGATTCTAGTCCTTAAAACCCTAATTCTAGCTTTTCAGTTTGGCCTGCAATAATCCAATCCATATAATGAAACTTTTTTTTTTTTTTTTTTTTTTTTAACTTATGCAAGTATATGATATCAATTATAATGTTACATCGAATATGTTTTTAAATCCAATTAAAATGACAAATCGGTTTCAATTCTATACTAATTCGATCCTCGATCCACCATAAAGTATATTGTATTCAAGATATATGAATTACGAAAGGCTACTAAGCAATTTTGTAAATCCAATTAAAATGACAAATTGGTTTCAATTCTATACTAATTCGATCCTCGGTCCACCATAATGTATGTCTATTCTAGTCCATATTAGATCCGTGGCGCAATTCTTGGATGACTCTTTTTGATAATTGATATAAAGGCAATTTTTAAAAGAGTAAGCAAGATTTAATTATTAACATGTTAGTCATTTTACACTCAAGCTAAAGAATTGAAATAAATTAGGTTTAAAATATATAATCTCTGTTTTTCAAGCTCCAACCACTAGTCTTCACTTTGCTTATGTTATGGTAATATGGTATTATTATATTTCTTCCTTCTTTCCTTCAAAAAAGGGGTTTTATTTTCAATTATTTTTTGGATAAGAATATGATATGTGGTTATTTGCTTACCAATTAACAATGTTAGGTAAATATAATATTTCTTTTTATATACTCATTTCATGCTTCTAAGCAGGGGTACGTACAAGTATACAAGGAGTGTATGAGATTGTGAGAGGATGACCCTAAGATACAAATTCGCTAGATAATTTAACACCTAATGATATCAATAGAAGCAAATATATCAATTCGTAGTTTGGTAGTTGGTACCCCGACTACCCCCTAAGGCTTAAGCTTGATTAAAATACGATCAAAGTTAATAAACGTTAACAAATCAAAGTCAAATGCAAATATTTTATTAGGAGAATTATTTAACAAAATTACATGAGCATTATATTCTTGTCTGGCAGCTGCATGAATTTATAATGGAATAGGCAACATGATTAACTATATAAAACTAAATTATTGTTAAACATATTAAATGAGTTCAAAGAGTTAGTTAGCTGCCAGATTAAATATTAGATCATTGGCGGTATGTCCGCTAAAACATATAGGCCAGGAGTAGTAGATATGGATAAATAATTGCAACTTATAATTAAAGTGACATATACAATTGACGTAGATGAGGATTGTATATGATTTTATGTTGATCAAGATAAGGAGAATTGCATGTCGAAATCTCTCAAAAGTACATTCAGTCTGAGTTAACAAATTAGGCCCTTTTAGAAGTAGGGGGGGGGGGGAAGGATAAGGGAATAATCCCCACCCCAAAATGCCTAAGTGTAGTTTGATCCCACAACCTTATATTTGTATTAGTGAGATGCTAACTTTTCCACTAAACTAAACTTTGCTTAATATTTCGTATTTTTAATTGCATTATTAGAAAAACATGTCATTTCCTTAAAATTATATGGCAGATTATTCTTATTCAAATTTCGGTTTGGATAAAAAAAAATATATAAGTACTACGGATTATAATTCATTTCGAATAGAATTGGTTGTTTAGACATTTTAAATTGAACTCAATATTTTCAAATAAAATTCAATTCAAATTGAATTTTATTGGACCCAAATACAAACCAAACACCGAATAAACACCCTAATAAAGATGCAAAGGGGAGGGGGAGAAACTGAGAAAACAAGAAATGGGGAGTTTGGCAAGTAAGTTTGTAAAACTTAACAAGATAAACCCAAACATGCTGCTACATTCTAAGTAAAAGCAGAAATAAGTAAGACGTGGTTGTTAGTGATCCCAAAACAGTGACGCGAGAAACAGAGTGAGATAACCTGAATCTTCCAAATCATGCACTTTGCTATTATTAATGAACCAATCAACATAACATGCTTACTGAATTACAGATAAAAATTGTACAAAAATATCCACCTACAGACCTACTATTATAAAGTTTGCATTTTATTATTTGCATAAACAAACAAAAAACTGTTACTCGGCTACAACAACTCCCATGTGAATGTCACTTTACTAACATAACATAAACTTTTTAATTTCCTTCAATCTGCACATGCCAATTTGTTTATAAAGTACTCCGCGTAACACTATTACGGAATACTACTACATCCTCAAATAATTGCTCCATTTCTAGTTATTCCGATTAGATGTGGTTGTTATAAGTAACCTTAACACTAACTTCTGTAAACCGATAACAGTAGTTCCAAAAGGTCACTATTAACACTACCATAGTAGTTACTCTCCTAGCAGCCTTACATTTCAGTTCAATGCTCAGAACAAACAGGAATTATACATTTATACACATACAAGACCTTAGACCATAAATCAACTCAAGAATCAAAACTTGGTGTTGGAGCTAAGTGTTTTATTTCCATTTACAAAGATTGGCAAAGGATATATATACACCCAGCTCCTGTTTACTTGTACATACAACATACACTAAACTTAATCTAAGAATTTAACTTCAACTAAACTATAATTATACACTGCCCAATAATTAATACTGGGATCAATAATAACTAATATGAACAACATAGCATAACTAACTTCTAAATATCATCTTATCATCAATTTTCACTTTGTTATCTGGGATCTGATACCTTAGAAGTTAGAACCATCCTTAGTTGTTCTTGGCTATAATATCGGTTCCCCATCTTCGCGGTCGCTTGTTGGATCATTAAGTCGTTAACAACCGATACACTAGCGTGTGTGACATCTAAGTCTAACTCTTTCAATGCGGCCATTAGCCTCGCGGCTGGATGATTCTTCTTGTTACAATTGACGCGAATCATCGCTTCCCAACCGACAATCTTAACATCGATTTCTAAATCTACCAAATGCTGTTGTTCAATTCCATTCACTTTGATATCATTATCAAAGTGCGGTGGTGGTTGTTGTTGATGATGGTTTAGTGATCCCACGCCTCCTCTAGAGGCTAACAACTCTTTCTTTAACTCTTCAACTTGAGCAACCAATCCTTCTTTCTCCGACTCAAAGACTGTGAGCTTCGACTTAAGTTCGTTTATGTACGATATGGCGTCCCCTAAGAGGGACGCCTTATCCATCTTCGAAACGTTGGGGACAACCGCACGAAGCGCGTAGAACCTTTGATTAAGCTTCTCCCTCCGTTGTCGCTCCGCCTCTACATGATTCAATGGCTCTTCTCTTCCATTAGCAGGCTTTCGCCCTCGCTTCCTCGGCCTCTTCTCCGGCTCAGGTGCCACCCTACCACTATCCACCTCTCGAACGGACGCCTCCAAATCGGAATGCTCGGAATCGGGACCGCCATTATTACTCGATTTCCCCACCCCGGACGACGCTAAAATCACCCCAGAAGTAAAAGACAACATCCCCTCATCATTACTCCCTCTTGAATTAGGCGAACAACGCTTCTTCTTATTGCTATTCTCATCCATTAAAAACTGAGAATTCGCCCCAAAAATTGAATTGGAGTTACCATTGTTAACAGGTTTCTTAACATCACCCCCCCCAAAACTCAAAATCTCTCCAGATTCCGGCTTTAAACTCCCATTACTCTTTGACCCACTTCCATTAAACCCAGCGTACTCCGAAAAATTCAACTCTCTGGTAAAAAACCCAGGTTTCTGAGCCTCACTAACGTTGCTCTTAATCGGACTATCCAAATTAATCACTTTCGATTGAGACGGCTGAGATTGTTGTTGTATCGTCGGCGGTGGTGGCGGCGGCGTAGGAGTTTTTCTCGCCTCCTTCACTTCCGGCGGGTTCGGGTCGTTGATCCACATCGCAGTCGGATCACTGTCACTGGAAGGAGCAGGGGTAGAACCTGGAACAGGCCACGAACAACCCGGGTCATTGGGCCCAGGCGCAGGCCCAAAACAGAACAAAACCCTAACCTTATTCATCAAATCTGGGCTCTGAAAAATCACCTCAGTGGACCCCAACTCAACAACGCCGTTCAACACCGGAATCGACACCATCGTCTGAAGCCCGAAACACGACCCTTGTTTAGCCCGATCACACGGCGAACTCGACAACCGTTCAGGCCCGGCGGCCCAAATCGGGGAGGAGCTTAAATGGGCCTGGCCCGGTAAATCCTCACCACTAGCAAAAGTATGAGTCATAGAAATAAGGAAGAACCACTCAGTATCGGTAACTTCCTCTTCAACGGCGGAATCTTCCGGCGGAGAAACGCCGGAAATGAGCGAATTCAGCTCCCGGAGAACCTTCTTCCGGTGCTCCTGCTCGGCTAAATCCTGAGAAATTCGGTTAGTCGCCGCCTTTTCTTGGCGGGTTTGTTTATCTTCACCTTTGTAATACCCATCACCCCAACCGAGGAGAGATTGGCCGGAGTAATCGATGCTGTATTGCCAGAAAATAGCGTAAGTCCAGCTCTCACCGCGAGGGGTGGCGGGGACGTCGATTAAGGCTTGTAGACGGCTGTGAAGGGTGTCGTGTGCGGCGGCGGAGGCGGTGGTTGTGGAGATGGAAGGGTTGTAAGAGTCCATCATGAGTAGGGAAGAAGATGAAGATCCATTAATGTCATCAGATGACCAGAGATTCATCATTATTGGATTATTTAATTGGGATGAATTTTCAAAGGAGAGAAATTCATGAAAAATGAGGAGAGGAGAGGAAGGAATGAAACACGTGAAAGAGAGGGAGTGGCGGCTTGGAGAAGATGGGAAGGCAGTGTGAAATGCGTGGGGGAAGAAAGAGGAGAGAGAAATAAATGAGTGTTGATTAGAGAGGGAGTGGGTAAGAGGGGGGTATGACACTCGGAGAAATTCAGTCATGGGTGCGTGGGCTATTATATAAATATCTGACTTATTTTTAATTCAAGTACTCCGTTTTACTCAACTTATTTTGTCTGTCTCGTTTAAACTATTTTTGATATAGTATGGAGTAATTGATTTTCACAACATTGAACTTGTATTAATTTATTTTGCTTGTTCAACAGTTATTTTAAAGTACAAAGTAGCTTTTAGTAAACTACTACTATGTGTGGCAACATAGTGATAAGGATAGTGCTTAATGGTGGAGGTTATCTTTGTCAAAAGTTATATTTTTAGTTCATATAGCTAGCCTCAACTTCTATAGACCTATATATTGCCAATTAGGGGTTAAGGGTCTATTCTGTTCAGCTTAATTTCAGTTCAATTCACTTTAGCTCTTAATTTACTTCTCTCATAAACAATTCATTTCAGCTATATTCAGTTCAGTTGTTTTCAGTAAATCGAAACAGGCCCTAAGTTGGTTAGGCCTTTTTTTTCACTTATACCCTCTTTTCGAATCTTTGTAAAACAAATGTTGCTTACAACAATCCTTTTATTTTTTACACTTACATAAAGCTAAAAAGCACTTACGAAGGACTAGTTTAATTCACCTTAATTTTGTTTCTGATAAAATTTATTTGATCTGATTGTCGGATTTGACCAAACTTTGACCTTATGTATATGATAATCTATAAAGAAAAAATATATCAAGTGGGTCTTATTAGATTCATAATAATATGTATTTTATTAAAATGGAATTTTCATAATTTTTTATTGTCAACACAATCGAATACAAAATTCAGGTTTATGGTCAAACAACAAGCTCAAATCAACTCCCTTAACCAAAGAAGACCCATTTTCAACACTTTATTTCACCAAATATTGATCTCTATATATTCAAGAAATAGCATAATAAATGAATTAAACGAGTACACACGTATTGTGTCTTACATATACATTACCAATCTAAGACACTAAAGAGTAAGAATAATACTCCGTACTCCTTTATAGAGGGCAGATACTATGAAAAAGTAGTTTCTACTCTTACAATTCTAGTACTCTTTGGCCGGTAGTACGGTACTCAATAGTAGTAATACTAATAGTGTATTACTATCACCTTGGTCGGTAGGTACGTAACAAACCGAGTAAGCTTAGACTTGATAGTAGAGTAGTTATATCAACTTTTTTGACCAAATTTAGTTGCTTCTACAATTTTTTGCTTCTTTAGTTCCTTGCATACTTTATTGCCTCTTTCAGTTATGCAAATCCTCATTATTACATACGAAGCTTCGTCTGTCTATGGAAGATTTATGCCTTTTTCATGTCTTTATTTATTTACATACCATTCAAATGTTAAACGTGTTCCAAGTCAGATGTATACATGTTTTCTTAGACATTCTCAAAATGTAATATTAATATGACAATAAATTAGAAACTAGAAAGAATAGGAGTAATGCTGTAATGGAGTATTGAACCTCCTCTACTATTATTATAGATTAATAAAATTATTGATGATTTAGATTATATGCTCACAATTTTATATCCTGTACTATACGTGGAATAAAAATTTCGGTATAATTTTTACAGTGATATGATTAATGTTACGCATAGTGCTTCTAGGTAAATTTCATAAGTATATTATTTAGATATTTTCTTCAATTAAATACACTCTTATAAGGTGCGTTTGCTTCTCATTAACTGAAATTATTAAACTTGATTGAACCAATTTTCACATTATGTTTACTTTTAATTTTATCTAATTAGCGTCAAAATCTTTTTTTAAGATGAATGAAGTGCATCCTTAGTTTAATACATATAGACATTCTTGATTATATTACTATAACCACACAATTTATGACATTTTCTTAAAAAAATAATTTATATCTATAGGAAAGTGATGAATGAATGTGAAGTTGTGTAGGTTCAACGAATAAGACAACAAAACAAAGGTAGAAAAAGAGATAACATTACCCATGTATAAATAGGGTATAAGTAGAGGTGATAATTGGGCGGGCCGGGCCGCAGTAAAAAATTATGCCCACTTCTCGGGCCGGGCCAAGCTTCGAGCCGGAATTTTTGTGCCCAAACCTGCTCAAAATGGTCGGGTCGTGCGGGCTTTCAGGTCGGGCCTAAAAATCAACTAAATATGCATAAGAACGCATTCCCAACCCCGTCCAAAATAAAATTTTTAAAAAAATTGGGTCGGGTCGGGCCCAACCCGATTTCGGGCCAAAAAATTCTGCCCAAAATCGGGCCGGGCCAACGAGCCGAGCCATACTTGATCAGGTCTAGGTATAAGGTGGTAGATATTCTAAGGTCGGGCAAATCGAGAGGGAGGTCTGTAAAACTTTTTTTTTCGGTTGAGGAATTATTGCACTTGGACTCACATGCCTAAATCCGTCTTAAATTAATAAATTTTATTTTTAATTTGAAAGTGGGAGAAAGTAGAGAAAAAGAGTCGTAAAAGAGTCTTACCCTTAAGTATTTGAAATAAGAATTGAGGAGATGTTGTTATATACATTCAAGTGCACGGTACATTCATGAGTATTTTATTCTCATTTTGATAATTGATTTTATTTAATCATCAAATGAAGAGTAAAAACTAACTTTGGATTAGTTGGGTATAGTACACAGTACGCCCGGATGTGTATAAAATATTTCAAGAATTGAGCCTCTAACTCGCGGTTGGAGTTACAGTTTGTTTGGGTAATGTTAAGGGAAGATAAAGAAATGGGAATGAAGAATGGAGTTATTTCCTTCCAAATCTCTTTATTGTTGAAGAGATAATTTTCTTAGAATTTAATCCCTCCATTTCTCTCCCCTCCAATTCTCTTCATCCCTAATTTGTTATCCAAATGAAAGTTATTCCCTACCTCCATTTCTCTTCCCTTACATTCCCTCCATTTCATTCAATCCAAACACACTCTAACGGTTTGTTTGGATAGCAAAGGGGAAGAGAAAGGGAAGGGAAGGAAGAAGAAGGAAGGGGGAGGAATGGAAGGGGTGGGAGAAGGTAAAAGGTTACATTTTTCCTCCATATCTTTCCAACATTGAAAGGATTATTGGGTTTCTTAAAGAGGGAGGGAAAATGAATCCTTCCATTTTCCTTCCCTTCCCTTCTATCAAAAGGTATCCAAAGAAGTGAGGATGGTTTCCTTCTTTTCTCTTCTCTTCCTTTCCCTCCAATTATCTCAATCCAAACAAAGTGTAAATTAAAGTTGATTCTCCATTACATACCATTCACTAGGCACAATTTTATGTTTACCCTTGATTTACACAATTAGGTTGATTCTCAAATATTTCCCTAATTTTTAGCTAATGTACCTACACAAATACTCTAATGTATCTAGTTATAGTCTAATGCTTACTTATGTACTATAAATACTCTTTTATACTCTTCAATATAATTAGCTTTCCAACATTTTCTTTCTCATAACTTTATCATGGTCTCATGAGATTTTGATCCATTTCTTCTTGCTTCCGCTACTACCATGGCTACACTATCAAAATCCTTTGCCGACCCGACAAATGATGGTGACCATACCAAACTTCCTTCTCTGAATGATTCAACCAAAATCACACTTTCCGCTCAACTCTTTTGGCACCCCGTATTTCATATACCAAGAGATGTCAATTATCCATTTTTTTTTCTCCAAACCCCTTACGGAGAAACAATTCCTTTTCGGCATCCCGTAATTTACTTATACCAAGTGTTGCCAAACATGAAATTCTCTCTCCAAACCCATTATTATGAAGAAACATAACATTTTTTCCGTTCTAAACCACCATCAATACCATTACATTTTTTTTCTTTCTATCTCACCTTCAATAGTTGTGAAGGAATCCCTATTTTATTTATTTTTTTATTCTTCTCCCATACGTTGAAAGCACATGCTAGCAAAAATTCTTCATTTTAATTTTGCAGTCAATGGTTCGCGTGTCACAACAACCGTGAAAAACACCCATGAAGCAACTCCTTATTCTCTATACATTTGAGGAAAAAAAAAACTAAACTCTCTAAACCCTCACGGAGAATGACAATGCAATGCAACTCTTCTCACCAACTACACTTCAATTCGTACATTGACCAAGATCGATTTGCGTTATTATATCCAAGATCGGGCACTCGTTTCGGACGTCTGTCTTGCAGGAACGTGTAAAGGATAATGATATTAGCAATTCATTATCCCTTGATTTACACAATTTGGTTGATTGACAAGGATTCCCTAATTGTTAGCTAATGTACCTAGACAAATACTCTAATGTATTTAGTTATAGTCTAATGCTTACTTATGTACTATAAAATACTCTTGTATACTCTTCAATATAATTAGCTTCCCAACAATTTCTTTCTCATTCAATGAGTAATTCCAAAAACTCAAAGCTTTTATTTGTCACTCATCATTCAATATTTTATTCGAGCTTGCCCCAGTTTCTTAAAATGACAAATACTGTAAATAATGGAAAACTTTTTAATATTTTATTATTTTTTTCTTGCTGACTCATCTTCTTCCTCCTCCTTCCATTTTTATCATTCCTTCTTCAACCTTTCGAATTTTAATGGCAGACGAAGCCCATCACCATAACCAACACCATTTCCGACACTACCAACACCACAACAACTATAACACCACCATATCTGGCAGCTTCGTCGCCGAATTTAACGAAAAACAATAAGAATAATATACTCCCTCCGTTTCATAATGTTAGTCCTATATACTATTTTGGGCGTTTTAAAAAGATATACCCATATTGAATATGTTCCATTTTTAACTTAATTTTTTTGGAATTAATTGGTTGTGGATTGATAACATGACTCTAAGTAAGGAAATTTCTACCTTGAATTATGCAATTATGACTTATGCTTTCCAAAAAAAAAAAATCAAAAAACTTAAATAAGGTAAACTAATTATGAATTATTTTGTATTTTAATGTTAGATTCCAAATATTCTTGTTTTCTTATTTTATGTGATGATTCCATATAAGACTAACATTATAAAACGGATGAAGTATAAATTA